TATTTATTGTATTTTAGAGATTATAGCCTTGTGATCTTGAATCATAGCCAATAAAATAAATTTCTCAGTCTTGTCATCTAGTTTGGTCATTCTTTCTTTCAAAACAGAAGAGAGAGCAATGATTTCAAAAGCCTGAAGATATACTACACTTGGCTTGAATCCACGACATGCTTCTTGAGGAGTCATATTTGCATTCTTTTGGTTGGACAGCAATTCAATAAATATACGGCTCATTGAGCAACTTTAGCCCAAAACTCCTTTGACATTATTAAGATTTGGGGGTCCATCTTAAAAGGTCAACCTTATTAAGAGGAGTAGCCCAAGATCTTTATTAATTGGTCTTTGTCAACATCTTTATTCGATGTGGGATTATATCCCTTAACACGCCCCCGCAAGATGGTGACTCATTTGAGCAGACCAATCTTGAAATCCACGTGCTCACTTTTTGGAGTCTTACCGGGAACGAATAGCTCGTTGGAGCATAATGAGCTCTGATACCATATTAAGATTTGGGAGATCATCTTAAAATGTCAACATTATTAAGAGGAGTGTCTTACCGGGATCGAATCGCTCGTTGGAGCATAATGGGCTCTGATACCATATTAAGATTTGGGGGTCCATCTTAAAAGGTCAACCTTATTAAGAGGAGTAGCCCAAGATCTTTATTAATTGGTCTGTGTCAACATCTTTATTCGATGTGGGATTATATCCCTTAACAGACATCATCTTATTTTTCAACATACTTAGAGCCATTTCCATGACAGTCGTATCCTTCCTTTTTCCTATGCCATATTGTTGAAGAGATATAGGAACAGTTAAAGAATGATGAATGTATCTTCACAAAAAATTCTTGAATGTGTTACTAATATATTCACCATCATAATCTTAACGTAAGACTTTGATCTTCTCATTACTTTGATTTTCCACCATCGCCTTGAAATATTTGAAAGTCTCAAATGCATCGAACTTTTTACTGAGAAAATGCAACCATGTTTTATGAGAAAAGTCATCAATAAATAAAATGAAGTAATTACTTTTACCAAATGGTGCAGACTTGATTGGTCTATAAAAAATTTTACGCACTGTTGGGTTTTTTGATACCCAATAAATTTGGGGCGATGATGAAAAGCAGTTGTCAGGAATTGATCGACACCATACGTTTGGCTGAACTCGAATACTATCGACACTTTTGGAAGGTCCAAGTTGGGGTTGTTATTGGTTTGTAGTTTAGGTTTAATGTTAGGCCCATTTATTGGTATTAAGTTAACCCATTCCTTTTGGCCCATTTTATGTGACCTAATCCACTAGATATATACCCATCTCCCCAATACTAGAAACGGTGTGGTGCAAGAGAAGAGCCGTGAGAGAAAGAGAGTAGCCCAATTTCTTGGTGATTTTGGAGCCATTGTATTCTCCTTGTTTCTTCTTACCTTAGTGGTTTATTGCATCCACCCATTATTGATCCTTTGTGGGTTAATATAGAGAGTGTAACTTGTGCAATGTTTTGAAAATCGAACCGATCATTGACCCAGAAAAGGTGAAGAGTCAAAAGGTTCAACCGGGGTCGAATCGGCTTCGATCCGGATGCAATAAATACGTACAAAAATAATAAAATACTATGAAAACAACAATTTTTTTAAATTTTCATATTAATAATTCAAAGTAAATCTATCTTTATTTATTAAATTTATTACCCTACAATTAATCTT